TATAAAATTATGGGATTTGTTGTTACATATTAATATGCGAACACTAGATAGCAATATAATTTGTTCAATATTATGCATCACCTCTAAAATCTTAAACTTCAACATCCTACTCTCACTCTAAAGTCATATCATTCCAAGTTCATTCCCTTACACTGATTATATTTATTCTTTGATAGTGAAATGTCTACTCCCTTATTTTCTCCACTTTCTTTTTGCATTTCAGCCTGCTCTTGATTTCAGTATTTTTCTAGATAGGCTACACCTCAGGTGCCCACTACTTCAACCCTTCTCTTGTTAACATTGTTAAGGACTTTGCCCCCCTTTCCTAAGTGCCTACACTGCAAAAATCCTGTTCGTCTATCTTCCTTTCTCCTTCATACTCAAACTGCTAGCTGCAACTAAAGAAAATCATATAGTGCCACAGATTAATGTCACAGTTTCCAATCTTAGCTGAACCTTAAACACTACATTCTAGAATTAGGAACTGCTTCCCACATGGCATCTGAAGAAAAATTTTGTAATTTTTATTTACAACATGTTAAAGAGCATGATGGAAAAAGCCTGGGCTTTGGAGTCACATGAATCAGATTTGAAGTCAAACTCTTTACTTCCCATATATCCTAATTCCACTTCTCTCCGTCTTTTTTCACAATCTCTAAACTGGAGCCAATATTAACTATATATGACAGTGAAGATTACATAAAATATGCAACTGGTTTAATGCAATGTCACAAGTTCCTGAGCATATATATTTGAAGGTCTATTTTCTTCAATAACTACTACCACTGTATTCCACCAATAACCCCATTTTCCACTGAGTACATCTCTATCTAATTCCACAATATTTTGGACTTTTCAGTTATTAAACGGTTCTGTTCTCCATCAGTGCTGGTCAGAGAGGAGGCTTTGTGTGTACGTATAAGTGTGGAGATGACAAGATTTGCTTTTTTGGCCTCTCCTGTATCTTCAAAGGAAGGCAGGCAGGGAAGAATTTGTCTCCTTATGTACTGTCAAGATTGCTGTGTCCTTTTCACTGTAAGGGAGCTCACTTCTTTTCATAGGCTGGGTTTGAGTAGTTGGTGACCTCAAGTTCTATGATAAGTATATCAGTTAAGCAGTTCCAGTAAATATTGATGGTACTTTGAAGTTCATGTGCTGGTTGAATTCTACTTTTCCTATCCCAACTTCCTATCTGCTGACGGGCTGCTTTAATGTTCCATATCTTACCTACTTTCTCATTGGTCATTGCAATCTAACTCTGGAGGCAAAGGTACAGATGAGATGCATTTTCTATACCTAATAGGAATCAGAGTCTTGAGATGAGGTGTCCTTGTCTTCTTGGCTTGGCCATTACCAGCCAGCTACTTTCCCTAATTTTCCTCCCTTCATTTTTTTTTTTAAACCTTTTTTTTTTTTTTTTTTTAAAGAGAGAGAGAGAGAGTGTGTGTGTGTGTGTGTGTGAGAGAGAGAGAGAGAGAGAGAGAGAGAATTTTTTAATCTTTATTTCTTAGTTTTCCTCGGGCACAACATCTTTGTTGGTATGTGGTGCTGAGGATCGAACCCGGGCCGCACGCATGCCAGGCGAGCGCGCTACCACTTGAGCCACATCCCCAGCCCTCCTCCCTTCATTTTGATAGAACTGGGAGGGACACCAAACCCAGCAGCTAACCAGACATCCACACAGGGATTTTGGCATACAACCTAGAGTGAAGACTTCTATTAACTTTTCCCCACTTTGGGAAAGATTTCTGAACAGTTTACTATTTCACCATAATCCCCAGACTAATTAGTAATCCCGAAGGGTCAGGAAAAGATTCTAAATAGTACTTTACTCCATTTTGATACGTGTTTAGAAAACATGATCTACAACTGATCTGGTCTATAAAATTGTTATTTTTTTCTTATTGGTATTTAACAGAGTTCCATTACTTGATTTTATGGTAATCTGTACCCCAATASAGGTGCACAGATGTACTGTTCTATGTATTTTACAAATATTAACTCATTTAATCCCATAACAGTCCTAGGAGGTAGTTAGAGTTATAATCCCAAATTACAGATGAGGGAATTGAGCCCCAGATAGGTTAAATAACCTACCTGTCTCCTAATAACTATTGTATATCTAAATTGTATTTGCCAGGAATTCAATTAATATTTTCAAATCCATCTTCAAAAAAGTGTTCTATTTTTTCATTATTATGATTATTTGGGATTATAACAACTCCAAATAAATTGGGGTTGCATGTCATTGTTTTCTGATCTGGAAAAGGTTGTAAATCATTGTACTTATATACCTGAATTATCTAGTTGTTGGAATTTTTCATAATCCTTTCATAAAATTTTTCTATCTAGTGGCAACCATTCTTTAGGAACTGTTTCAATTGTTATTGCTTGGTTTAATTTTTCTACATATTGTTTACAGTTTTTTGATCTTTTATCTTTTAATTTTAATTTGATATATATGACACAGAATGCATTACAATTCATATCACACATATAGAGCACAAATTTTTATTTCTCTGGTTGTATTTTTGATCTTTTATATTGTTAAAAATATAAAAATTTCTTGAGATTTTCCCATATTATGCATGGGATTTTCTTCTGTTTTTAAAATGTTGCCACTATGCATTGTCACGCCTCTCTGGTTGTTGTTTGCCCAATCTAATAAATTTGAATCAGAAAAATAAATATAAGATAATTCAATTGAATCAGACCAGAGATTAAAATGTAAATTTAAGAGTTATGAATGATTTTTCACTTTAAAATAATGTTTTTGTGCAACATTTTAAATAGTGTTTAATATAGTTTGATATTAGATATGGTGTTTTTAGTATTATTTTCTTCTTGCAATCTAGTTTCTGTCTTTAAAAAGTCTCCTCCCCAAACATTAAGTACTTAAATTTCAACTGAGCAACCATACTTATAAATATGTAGATATACACAAATATTCAGTTTTATATAAATCACATATATGTAGGTATACACATAAACATATATTATTTTCATCACTTGTATTACTACTGCTTAGTAGAACTGTTACCAAGATTGAGTTTCAACAATAATAATCTTTGCTTGTAAGATTCTCCTTGTAGTCTTAAAATAATATCACAACAAAACAAATATATGCCAGTTTACAATATCAGGGCTAGTAATAGGTAGTCCTTAGGTTATCTATCTTGTACTATAATAAATTTTAATCATTGAATTCTGAGAAGCATGAATCTTTCCAAATATACATGATGCATAGATGTGGGGAAAGCACATTTCAGTACTCAGAATTCATATGATTGAAATGAATTTCTAATTACAGATCACTTCATCTATATAATATTCTTTCTTACAATTTCAATGACCTTAATTGCATTAGCTCTTTATCCCCCCAGTTTAATCACAGAAATACAAAAATTTTATCTTGGTTGCTAAGTGCCACAAAAGTAACATGTTTTTACTTTTTGCTCTTATTCTGTAATAGGTATTGACATACTTTATGTAGCCTCAGCTTCACATGTACTTCTTTGTGGGTAGTAACATGTCCTTCACATTGATAAAACATGTAGAAAACTTGAATGATTTTTCTCTGTTTAGAATTGGGTGGAAATTGGCAGTTTTTGAATTAACAAATGAATGTATTTTAAACTCACAAAGGATTAAGATATGTGTAATATTTCATACATTTCTTCGAACTGTATCAAAAAGTTTAGTATTTAATAAACACTGTGCCCAATGACTATGTTAACTATACACCATGAAAAAAATGTATACTTGATATAGTGTTATAGTTAYTGTTTTTAGTATTTTAACCTATCTCATTCAAGTGTCATATTAAGTGAGCTAATACATATTTTAATCAGAAAAATGAAACAAATACATTTTTTTTTTCTTTTCTTTCTAGTTTCTGTCATTTTCTATCATCAAAAACATTTGGCCCTTGGCCAACATCTCATGATTTGGAAGTTTACTGGAGGGAGACTAAATGTACTCTGGCAATCAGATAAACTGCAACGATGTGGTGAGAGGATACACACGTAAAGGTAATTTGACTTTCATTAAGTTTTAAGCGGTACTTCCCAATTGCAGCATCTTTAAGAAAAAATTACAAATACGAGGACTTTGCTAGCAAACTTTCAAACAGGAAAAGCAGTTCTGGACTCAAAGCCTCTGGAGGTAGGGACTTAGATCCAGGTTTACCACTGATTGATCCCTCCCAAGGCAAAAAGGGCCTCTTACTGTGATGCTCGACCAGTATAACTCAAATGAACTATTCTGTACCTAAATACTGGTAGGATCATCATATTTTCAACGAGAAGATTTTAAAATAATAGAATACTGCATTTTTTGGTCCTTTCTTAGGAACAGTTCAGGAAAAAGGTGAAAACTGATCAGGAGCAGGCAGATGCTTTGGTGTAGGTGGCAAGAAGGAAGGTTCTATCATTGATACTTAGGTCCCGTTTTGACTCAATTGCCTATCTGAAATACTGGGCGACTCGTTTATCATTATGCTTCCCCTTGAAATTCATTCCCTGATTCTAATTACYCTCAGGTCCTTTTCAACTTCCCTACCTTTTTTTCACATACATTCCTGTGTGGTAGATATTTTGATATCTGCCTTATATCTCTTTTTCCCTTATGAAATTAAATCACCAACCGAGGTGATGCAAGGGCGGGACCACGTCTCTCAGAAGGTTAGGAGAAGGGCGTGAGACATTACCCWAGGGAGGGGCCGTGGATTACAAGATAGAGCCCGGGGCCAATTTAAGGCCCTCYAGTTGTCTGGCAGTGAACCGAGACTGAGAAGACGGGTTAAGAATGAGTTGCGGGACCCGCTATTTGCGGCAGAAAACGCAAAGCCGAGGAAGGGCGCCCGCCTGTTTGCAGAACCCGCCCCACGCCACGCACGCCTTAAGTAAGTCCCCTTGGCCCCGCCCCTACCAGGCCCCGCCCCCTCCCCAGCTCCGGCCTGGGCCTGGCTCAGGCTCAGCGGGCGGAGGGGGTGGAGAGAATCCGCAGCTGCAACTTCGTTGAGAGCCTTTGAGCCCAGGCGCAGCCGGGGATCGAGCTGCCGTMACCGCGGAGCCGCGGCTTCCCCGGCCCCGGCCTCAGCCCAATCGACTTGGCCATGGCAGCTGCCGCCACTGCGGCGAATCTGGCCCCTGTGCTCCCTGCCCGTCGCTGAGCAGCCGTTAAGCCGCCAGCCCACCCTACAGCCGGAGCCGCCGCGGCCCAGGTTCGGCACAAGTTTCCGCCCCTGAAGAAGCAGGAGGCGAAAGCTGGAGAGGACGGACGCAGGGTGTAGGAAGCCCCTGGCCCACACGCCCGCGATGTGGGGCCGTTTCCTGGCCCCCGAAGCCAGCGGCCAGGACAGCCCTGGCGGGGCCCGTAGCTTCCCGGCCGGTAAGGAAGGGCACAGCCCCTGGCTGGGTGGGGTGGGGGTCGCAGCAGCCTAAGGTGCCTCGGGACCCGCCGCCGCTCCCCTCCCTGCTGTGGCCTTCCCCCGGCCGCCTGCCAGACGCCGGCGCGTGCCCGCGCCCGCCCTCCGCGTTTCCTCGGCTGTCGGCTCCTGGCCCTGCGGGCTGACATCTGGCGGGCCAGAGCCCCGCATCTCGGCAGACCATCCCCGCCGCTGCCGCAAGTCCGCACCGCGCCTTCTCGGGCCGCAGCCCCCACCCTCAACTTCCAGCTCGGCTCGGGTTGGGCTCTTTTGTCCCGCTTTCCTCCTCCCGTTCCCTCGTGGGCTGTGTGACCAGCGTGATAACGGGGCTTGCTCCGCGCTCAGAGGGACCGGGACTGGAAGGTCGCTGCGACCGTGTTGCGGCGGCAARGGGGCGCGGGCGGCTCTGCTGTACCCACGCATCTAGCCGCTACTTGAGGGGGCGCCTTTGGGGCGGGAGGAGGCTGTTGGTGCTGTGGGCGTGGTGAGCGACCCCCGASGGGATTTCGACCCCTGCAAAGAACCTAGTCGCCGCCCGCAGCCCCCTCTGGTGAAAGGGGAGGGCGCTTCCTGCAAGATCCAGTGGATGTTTGAGCTGTAGGGCTGTTAATGGGTTTGACTCTTAAGGCCCCTTGGTTTGGTGCGTTCCGTGGGTGTAGGGGCTGTTTGGATCCCACAGCCTTTTCATGCTTGCATCACCCAGAAATTGTATCGGAGCCCCTAAATTAGAATAAACCCTCCCCTAATTTGGCATAAAAAATAAAGCTTGGTTTGCCTGTGACAAGTTATCTAACGATGACAGTCCCTTCAGCCACTTTAATCTTAACGGAGTTATGAACCCCTTTGAAAAGCTGAAAGTTTAACAGACTTTTTGTCCAGAAAAAAAGAAAAGGCCATATATACATACACAAAATTTCTCCTACTGATTCAGGTGGTTCTGGGACTCTTGTTAAGTAACCTTTTTCCACATAGCGTTTGAGGTTGACTTGGGTAACTTAGAGGCATTTTTATTGTATACGTTTTCAGAGATATTATTTACAAAGCCATAAAGCAAAGCAGCATTTAGAGAGGTCTTTGTATGATAATATTTAATGCTATTGAAAAATCAGGTACATTGCTATTGAAGTTTAATGCGGTTCTGTGGTGGTTTAGGTATTTGGGGTGTAATTTTTAAAAATTTAGGTTTATAACATGCATTTTTAAAAAGCCAGAGTTATATTTGAAATCATTTTCTTAAATTTAGACCTACTTTTTAAAAAATACTTTTCCATTAAATTTAATTTTAATATTTAAAAAAAATATTTTTCATTAAATTTAAATTTAATATTTTTCATTAGYGTGACTTCAGTAAAAACAAACAGCATCAATATATGTAGGAGATTTTCTCTAAAATGTATGCAATTTGTCTTAAGAAGAGAAGCAGTAGTTGAGAGGTTTCTGATGCTTATCCAAATATTCACAAATCCTGACATCTAAGTGATTTGAGTGATGAAGAAGAGATTTCACTATCTCTAGGGTCTGGAGAGTAGTTTCCATTTATCCATATGTGTCAGATGTCATCTCTAATGTCTTTGTAACCTAACCTCTTAAAATGTATTTGTGAATAATGATAGGTTGTTTGAAGGTACATCACACAAGCGTTGAATCAATTTCCCATTGTTTTCTATTAAGAAAACATCTTACTGTTTAGAAGTTAAGTAATGAAGAACTGATGTTATATTGCAGTCTCTAGACATTTACTATGTCATAGAATATAGTGAAAGAGGATTATTATCCAAATTTCAGAAATTTGGGCAGTACATATTTACAAAAGCATTTATCTCAGCTTTGACAGTGATAAACTGTTGGTAAATCATAACATTGCCTTTCTAATGAAAAATGTTTTCAGCTATATGCTGGGAATGGATTATTTTTACAGAATTAATGAAATTATTGTTTGTTTATTCTTATCCTGAGCAAACATATACACTTGAAATTGATTAAAATCAGTTTTTAAAATTTATACCTTACATGAACAACTTTTGGTTTTTATCAATTGAGCAGACAGTAAAAGTCAAAATTATGACTTCTGAGTTGATTGATGTGGATTTTTTTTTGAGAATCGGAAGAAAATTTATATTTTTGAAATATTGGTCAATATATCTTTTGACTAACTTGAGCAGTTTTAGGGCTTATCTGAAAACAAAGGGAAYGAGTCTTATGCTTGAATTTATCAGCAATCTATTGGGTCCTGAGGGCCACTGTGAAAGACAGTGATAAGTAAATAATTTCTGGTATTAAAATGAGTCTTTCTCAATATGTGGGTTAATTCTAGGTATCCTGAAATTGGTTTGTTTACACAAATAATTAGACTAACAGGAAAACCAAAGGAATACAGAACCAGTTTTCTAAATGGAGGGAACTTTCTTTTTAAGGAAATGACTGTAAAAGAACAAATAGGAATACTAATTGTGGTTTGGAAAGTACTGAACTTTTGGCCTTTGTTTTAATTTTGTTTTGGTTTTACCCATAGTTTATCAGTTTTATGGAGTAACCATGTTATAAAATAAAATGAATATTTTCTTATGTTTCCATACTAAGATCACATAAAAACCATCCTTTTTTTTTCTGTTGACAAATACTACTAGAAGGCTAATTTTAAGTAGCAGTGGTTATATCTTTTGTGCATTTCAATGACTATATTTGAATTTACTCTGTTGTTCAAAATTTATACTAATTTCAAGTGTGGATGAAGGATATATGTATTTCTCTTAGGTTTTTGAAATCTAGCATGATATGGTCAAGTGTGGATGAAGGATAGATGTATTTCTCTTAGGTTTTTGAAATCTAGCATGATATGGTGCTATTTTGAGTACTTATTAACATCTAGTGATATTGAATATGTTCCTTTTTATAAGTCATTTTAAAGCTATTAACATATTCAATCCTTAAAACAATTTGAGATAGAATTTTATACTTTTAAAATGTGTTATAAGTGTTAATAGGAAAGGCTTACTTGAGCTTTAAAAAATGTCATTTGTCCATTGGTTGGAGCTTTAAATCTGCTTTTTTGTAGTTGATGCATTGCCATAAGGTGTTTAGTGATGTCATAATGATAGTGATAATAACTCTTAAGATTACATCTAATAATAAGGTTTGCTGCTGTGGTTCTGAATTAGATGGACCTAAGAGTACTACGGTAACAATGAAACATAACTTTTTAGCCTAAACTCACCTGGAAATGTTCTTTCATAATAGGCATTGGGGTAATGTCTTTTATGAAATGAATTTGATTAATAACTGGAATTTGATCACTTTGGCTTGAATGAAGCTAGTAAATTGATCTGAGGCCGATCAATAAATGGTGAGTTGATAATTTCTGTTGTCATGTTGTGAATATTTATGTATTTATGAACAGAGTCATGGTTTTTGTTACTGAAAGAAATGTATGTATGATGTACTCTGAGAAGACAATGAAGGCTTGAAGTCTCACAGATATAGTATTTTACTGATTTTAGCTTAATTAGTTACCACAAATTGTGAATTAAAAAAAGAATGATCATACAGATAAGTTTTAAACTCAAATATATAACTGTGTTAAAGGTGATCATATTTTATACTTTCATAATTTCAGAATATTAAAGCAATATTCTAAGAAGAAATTTATTGTAGAAAGTCTTTTATTGGTGCATTATAGTTGTACAAAATTATGAGATTTGTTGTTACATAGTCTTACATGCACATGATATAATTTGGGCTATATCACTCCTTAGCATAAGATTACTTATTTTAAGAATGAGAATGATTAATGTAAAAAGAACATCAAATTGCTTTTTATACCAGTTTGTTTGCTTTGACTTTCTGTTATTCTTTAATTAAAACATTTATTGTTACTAGCATAAAGCTTGTCATCTTTTTAATGTGATTTATTCTGTTAATGAATATTAATTGTATGCCAGGCTTTGAGGATACATTGATGAACTAGAAAGATAAGATCTGTTATAAGGAAATTTACATTCTAGTGGAGAGGAAATGGTAAGCAAATAGATAATGAGAATAGTCCAGCTAATAGAAGAAAAGGGAACTGGTTGGTATGACATAGGATTTCTAGGCAGAGCTACTTTGGGTAAGCTGGTCAGGGAAGACCTCTCTAAGGAGGTGACACTKGGCTGAGACCTGAGTGATGAGAAAGTGCCAGACATAAAGGGAGGAATGAAAGGGCTCCAAGATGGAAATGAATTTGGAGAGTGTAAGGACTATTAAAACTAGTGAGTCGAGAGCTTAAGGAGTAGGAATGTGAGGTTAGGAAGGCCTGATAACAATTTAAGGCATTATAAGAAGTGAGTTTTATCCTGTGAGAGGAAGCTGGTTATGAAAGGATAGGGGAGATGGCCCAGTTGTTCACTCAGCACATTGAGTGTCTACCAAGAGACAGGCAGTGTTTTGTGCACTGGGGATGTGAAKAGAAACAGAAATTCTCTATCTTTGGTGTTTATAGATCACTCCTAGCTGTTCTGTGGGGAAGGATATTGGGGGGGGGGGGCAGTGAACAGCTACAGAGAAGCCAGTTACTGAGCATTGCAGTTATTAGGTGAGAGATAATGCTTGGATTAGAGTGGTTTGATTAGATTTGGAGAGGAGGTTTGATTTGGAGTATACATGAAAATTAAAGCTGATGGGATTTACTGATGGTTTGGAGGTGGCAAGTGAGGGAATGAGGAATCAAAAACAACATCTTATCTTATCCTTGGCTTCAGTAATTATATAATGATTTCTGAGATGGGGAAATTGGAAGGGTGTGTGTGTGTGTGTGTGTGTGTGTAAAATAAGTGCAATCAGGGGTTCTGTTTTATTGTTTTAGTCATGTGAAGTTTTAGATCCTTAAGATTCAGGTGAGATTGAGTAGAAAATTGGTTATACAAGTTTGGGTTCAGTGGGGGAGATCCTTAGATTGTGGGGAAGATATAGGAATTTAAAGAGTTAC